GACTTCAAGGTATGAGCTAGCTTTTATGAGACATTTCTATGTGTTTGAAGGACAAAAATCTGAGCAAAGTTGCTGCTGAGTCAGATAAAACTTACTCTCACCCAGATCCGTAATGGTAGCTGTGAACAGTACATATGGTTAAGGTTGGTCAGCACACGGAGGAGATAGGTGCTGCAGGAAGAAAAAGATGCCTTTACCTGGTCCATGGAGTAACCTTGGACTTCAGCAACCTGATCTAGTGAGGTGGTGCCAGGGGCCCAGGGCAGGGGGTTGGGACTAGATGATCTGTAAGATCCATTCCAACCCTTAAATTCTATGATGATGATGATGATTCTATGATGGTGATTTTAACAGTGCAGCTTCTTATTCTTACTGCTGTTATTTGCTGCCTACTGCCCATCTGGGCTTGGGGCTTCCTGCTCTGCCACACAGCTAGTCCTTGTCTGGGATTGCTTACTCCAATCTGAACAGACTGGCAAAAGGCAGGAGAACACTCAGGGAAGAAGGGCTGAATTTCTTTGCCCAGAGTTATGCAATATAATCCTCAATATCTTGTGCACTACACTTCTCATTTCTGCAGGGGAGTTTTGCTGGTTACTGCAGAGATGTCTCCTCAGTGCCACTTCCTTCCTACTTCAGAGAGGATGTTGCTTTTTCCTTTCATAGGTCTTCCCTTTGCCCAGTGCTAAGCAGATACACACACCCTTCTGTGCAGGGAGCACCGACCAGTGAGCTCCTCCCATTCTGCTCCTACACATCAGAATAATCTTCCTTAGCTATAGATGAGGCTTGAATTGTATTTGTTCCTTAAAGAAAGAAGCTCTCTACAACAGCCAGTTCTCAATTGCAGAAAAGCATCAGTTTTCACAAGCTATGCAAAACCTAGAGGATAAGTCAGATACTGCAGTAACTGAATCTATACATTACAAAATTGCAATTAGGAATTCTGAGAGATGGTGAGTAACAGAACTAAAACATTTTACAATGTTGGTTTTTTTCCAGGACAACCTGGCACCCCTGGATTTCCAGGTGCCAAAGGTTTTAGAGGCCCAGAAGGTGATATAGGAGCTCCAGGCTGTCCAGGCTTCCCTGGTCCACCATGTGTCACAGGCTTACCAGGGCCACCAGGACTCAGAGGTGTCATGGGCCTGCCAGGACCTCAAGGTACATGACATCCATTGGGTTCTCACAGCTCTAAGCTTGGCACATATTTTCTGGTAGATTTCATCAGGTGATTTTTGTGACTGGCATGACAAGTATTTCCATGGGGGCTGCTCATTAATGGGGGTATACATTATGTTTTGCACATTTCTTTAAACTCAAGGAATGTAGCGTGTGCATCTCAGATGTTTCCCAACTTCCCTTCCCAGACTATTCCTTAACTGGCCAAATCACAGTGTGTTCACTGTCAAGTAATAAACAGCAGAGTTTTCTCTTCTTTTAGTGTTCTAAGTAACTTAACTGAGCTCCTGACATTACTGTGATACTTTTATCTTCCTTATTCTTATATGGAAGTGTTATTTGGGAAGAGCTA